TCCAGTAAGTTGCTTATAAGTTGAAAGCCATCCGGAACCGAAAAGCGATTGTCTATTCAGGCGAGGCAACAATTTCATGACAATAATATTGAAACAATGAGGGGGCCGGTACACATCATCGGACCGTAATTTATCCAGTCGCACGAGAAACATTTTAACTTTAATTAGTGGATGGAATGTGACCCGAAGCGGCCATAACTCAACCTCAAAACTGACTACGAATCGAACACTATGGAAAATGGGACTTGGTTAATACATTTTCGAACTAATTATCGATAGATGTTGGATGATGGGCGAAAGGGGGGACATTTAAATCAACACCAAGAACGGAATGGGGAAACACGCAGATATTTATTTGGAAGAGGTTTTCGTGGCAAAGAATTCCTCATCAGCTCGGAAGCTGAAGAGTTAATTGTTTTTTTTACGGACGATTGATGGGCTTGTAGTCAACAGCGCTTCTTATTAAGTGGGTTGGTTTCGTGACTATTAAACGCCTCAGCTCTTTGTCACAATTTTCACTTATGTTAAATTCACTTGTTCATTCTGTAGTATTTCGAAATTTCTCTATTGATCAGGTCTAAAATGCACGCAGTACGTACAACCAGTACAACGTACGTTTGAGCTATAGGTTTTCAACAGTTTCTTTTCAATATGAACATTTTGTCGTTATTTTAAGTTCATGTGAAGGATGGCTGCGAATTTTGCTCGTTATTTTGTACTTAAAATGATCTCCTAACATATTTACGATCGCTATTTATAGCTTATAAAAGTTTTCACATGTTGGTGTTGAGCTTTATTTTAATTAGTTTCACCAAGTTTTCTGTGGAAGCATGGTAGACCTTTTGGAATAGCACCTTAAAATTTGCTGAAATCAATTATTTCAAACTTTGTTGTTTTGTTGTTACTAAATGTTGAAGTTTGATGTTTTACATTTTGATGGTTATTAATGTACTTTCTGGTTAAAATGTTCTTCAAATTCTGGATTCTCAAAGAAACTATGAATTCTTTATGTCTCATACGTATTATTGGTAATATGTAGACAATTTCTTTGTTCACGTACCAACACCGCATTTTTGCGACTTATTCTGGTTGCTCGTGCACTTTACAAGAATTGTTAATATAAACAATTTCTTGTTAAATTCGATAGCTTTAGAGATTAATGAATGACTGGAGCATCTTCTAAAGAAACGCCTCCAAAAATGTTTCTCAATGACAATAAAGCATTGCTTGAGATTCTCCGCTAGCTAGAAAACTTTGGACGTTATTTATACCCCGAATCTCATTTGAAAAACAAACAGCCGACGAGTTTTTGTAACTCGAATCTTTCAGGAACAGATTTTAACAGCAATTTTCAAAAGTTTGCAAAAATCGGCTGCTTTTACAAAAAGACGCATTTTTTCGCAGTTGTTGATCGCGACACTTCAGAAGAAAACTCGATAGTTTTGGAAATTTTTGGATATTCACATTCTGGTAGATTCTGAACCTCCTGCTAGTGAGAAGTCTAGTTTGGTAAAGGGCATTTTGCAGTAATTGACTCTGTTTGGTTGAGACAAAAATTTGCACCATTTTTTCTCTAGTGAATAGCACTCGTACCACCAACGGCTGGGGGGTTTTTACGATTTCAATCTTCCAGTAAAGGCCGGTTAATGCCAAGTTCGGCTGACTCGGAAAAAATTACCAATTTCATAATTAAAACCGCACTTGGATGATTTTTTATTAGAAACGCTGCAAAGGAAAAACTAAAGGATGTTTTTGGGTATTTACATTTCGAGCACCATCAAGTAAAAAGGCTCGAAATGCTTGCAGTTTAGCAATGGAAATATTCCATTGATGGTCATATTTTTTCTCTAGTAAGTCTCATTCGTACCACTAACGGCTGGGGGATTTTTTGCGATTTTAGTCTCCTAGTAAAGGCTTTTAACGTCAATTTTTGAATTGGAAAATTTGGCTCATTGCGCCTGTAAAACGGCATGATTTCAATCAATTTCTTCTTACGCGTGAGTTTGTTCTAGTGAATGTTCTAAAAACATTCTTTTTGAAATTTCGTTTGAAATCTTTAAAAAAGTAACTACTTCAGTTTCGAATTGGAAATATTGATGACGTGAAAAACGACTCCATTCATTTGGGTTTCAAAGTATGAACTTAATGGAAAAAAATGCTTCTGCTGTAGGTACGTACACACTAATTGCGTACATAGAAAGTCTTGCTCATGCTCATTTTATTTAAAAAACTTTTGTGATCGTTCCCAAACTTAAAAAAGGGAGGTTCTAAAAGTTCTTATCAGAGTTAAAAATCTTGAAAAAGGATGAAAACCAAATCCGGTGGGAACACTGGCAAGAACACAATTGACCTGTTTGATTTTCATTAATTTCTTCTCCAAACAGTTTCGTCCCCGACGGGTTTGCATTCCTAAAACTCTTGTTTTCATATAACAGAATTTTTCTCCAAAACGAAAATTAATTCATGATTCAATCAAAAACAATGTATTTGAAAACTACTATCAGATCATCACCGGTTCGCTAATTATCCAAAGCAGCCCGGTAAATGTAATTAATCTTTACACAGACAAAACCATGCTTAATTAACCGTTTACATATTAATGAACTATCATGTTTTAATAGTTATTTACTCAAACGATGCAACTGATCCTCAGTACCTAGAATTTAGATTAAAGATTCAGAAAAAGGAGGCAAAGAAATTAATTAGTACAGTGATATGCAAGCTTTTTAATTAAAACTTCGGAAAAATATTGGTCAGGATCCATTTGATTACGGGGCTTTAGAGATAAATAACAGTCACATCCATTAGCCACTTTGTCCTTTTTCAAAGTCCAGTGACGATAAAATAGTTAAATGACCAAATCAATCCACTAGATTAAATCCGACTTTGAACGAGCTCGATCCGAAGCGGTTTGACTTTTGCCACATAAACTAATTTCCGTTCGTAGGACAAGAAGTAATTTAGTCTGTTTCATTTATCTTTCTCTTTGTCTGGACGTTTGAATTTAACAGGGAAGGCCAACGGTCAGAAATTATAGCGTGCTCTTTCCTTAAATCCCAGCCTGGACGAAATGGCCTTTCCCAACATGCACCCATCCAGTTTATGTATGCCGAAATGGCCAAGAACTACCAAAGGGAATAGTGAATTTCGTACAAATGGGATTCAGGTTGCAGTGACTATTGATTTCGAATGCATTTTGTTTCGGTCCAGTGTGATCTCAGAGCCAACCTTCCCGGTGAATAATTGATTTCATTTCAACTGGCACTTGATTTACGTGGAAATGTTAATAAAATCGCCCACTTTAACAGCGAACATCTCCGCTAGGAAACGCTTTCGGTTATTATCGCTTCATTTGCATCAACCTCAAGAAATCTCTGCATCTTCAACCTTTACCTCGTTAATTATTGCCTTTACAATTTGTACTCATTTATATCCACTGGCATGTGCGTGACCTGACAAATCACGGAAATTTGTCGAAAGTCGCGCCAGATTCCCGATTAGGGTATGGTAGTTGAACATTATTTGCCTATACGCATGCAATTACCGAGATTAAAGGGCTTTCTATGCAAAAGAATGGCAAAAAGCCGCCAAGTCTTATTAACAATGCAACATATAGCATGCGACCGGATGCGAAACGATAGCGCAAACGTGAATGTGAAGGTTCAATTCAACACGTTCCTGACACGTAATAATATGGCTGTTTAGTGAGTTGTAAACAGTTTGTTCACAATCAAGGCAAATCCATCAGGCGACGCCATTCACAAGAGGGTGGACCTGGGGTGAGTGTATTATTCCAAAGCCTCAAGCCCGCCTTGGGCGGTTGATGTAACCGGCGATCATCAGAGCTGTTAAATTGCGAAAAGAATCATTTTGTTCAAGTGGAAATTTTCGCAAAACCGCGCATTTGATGCGTTTCTTGCTCGTAATCCAAAGGTAATTTAATCGAAGTGGAACGGGCGAATTTTCGACGAGTTAAAACCTTATTTAGTCCTATCTTAATTAAGCCACGACTTGAAATAGCTCCGGTAGTATAATGCCGATGATTCAAGAGAAGATATTTCCGCTCCTGCTCAGAATTATGCACAAAAGAATTATTTTCATAACTAGTGCGAGAAAACCGCTCTCCAAGAGTTAGGAGGAATATTTTTTCGACGATCGCACAAAACAAAACAAATACGAAAACATGAAATTGTATTTAAACTTTACTTACCAGTACTTGGAAGTTAACAAATCCAAATGATTGATCTATTTTATTATTTTGTGGTGTTTTGATTTAAAAGTTCTCTGAAAGATTATAAAGTCAAAGAGATGCTCAGAATTTTGTTGCCAACGTTTTTTCGTTGCTTCTATTACTCTGTCCTTTCTCTGCCAGGAGGGCGTTTGTGCATATTAGGGCCTTAGTCCAGGTAATGGACGACTTAGCACTCCAGTTTAGGTCATGGGCAAAGAGAGCAACCGGCCGATTATTTCCATTTCCTTTTGAAAAATGCTAAGCGATATTTGTTCCGCAACAGTTTGGTCAATTCTTCAGCCAAATTTTCCTAACGATGAGTGAAATTCGAATTTTTGACAAGAGCGCACTCATATTTACGGAACGCACAACTCTGAACCTGTAAAGCCTTTTCCTAAAAATTCAATTCCAGGATATGGCTAAAATATGCCAAGATGAATAATTAATCGCCTAATGTTAACGTTTGTAATTAGGGGGATTTTCCTCATCAACAATGCTGCGCAACAAAACATCGAAATAGTATCCTAGTAAAATACGCATCCCGGTAATTAATGTAAACCTAAATTTATCGAAACGGATATTAATTTTAATGAATATTAAATTAATGGTGAATGCCGGATTACTACCATAATGCACGTTATGCTAAACTGTGTGTGAGGGTTTTCATAAATTACCGTGTGCGGATTACCTAGGAATATTGTTTGTTTTGATCAAGCGCCGCATTCGATTTCAATAGTTTCAAGCAAACTTTTATTTCGCTTTTACTTACGGTTGACGTCCAAGGTGATGCTGCTGGATATTGGATGCATCAGCTGACTGTTTGTAGCTTGGCAAGTGTATACAGCGTTTAGACTTTTTCTCTCAATTTTGTCAATGTGAAGCACATTGCGAACTTTCATTTTGGTGATGTTGTGCCAAAAATGGTACGGGTCGTCGCTATGGATGGTGATATAATCCATGGATTTGTCCAGAAGGGTATTTTCCAGCCACCAAGTAACATTTGGCACTGGAACACCTACAAATATAAAGTATAATGTGACGATTGAGTCTTAGGCTCAATATCTGCTTGATGCTCGCAGTCTTTTCGCAGGCAACTGAAAAATTTATCCTTCCATTTTATGCGGATTTTCGCTAAATAAAACATTTCTTAAAAGTGAATCTCAATTGGAAATTTAACGCGCTAAGTGCTTTAAGTGGCTTTTAAAAGGGCCGGCCCTCGAAAGGCCCATCGTCACTTTAAATAATCATAAGAGCAAATACCTCCCAAAGGTGACAGTGAATTAATATTGGAATTAACTGGGTTTTCAATAATTCATTTTGTTGAACCAACTTAAAATGATCACATGATTTACTACTCTGCAATTTCTTTCAACTTTTACTGTTAATTTCAAATAACTGACTAAAAAACTTGACATATTACTGAATTTAATCAAAAATCGATTATCTAAATTTCCCGGAAAATGTACTCATTATCTCAAATTTTCATCGACGGTCAAGTGGGGATAATTACAAAATTGATGAAACGCCATGGGTAAACAAGGGCATCCGAAGTCCTCTGATGGCCCACGTTTGAGGTAAAACCTGGAGCTGAAAATTCGATGAGAGAACGACTTTAATCGGGTTAATTAAATGTTAATAAACAGCCGAAAACGATACCGTGTGCAGCTTCTATCGACATATTGATTTACGTGCTATTAATTCACTTTAATTAAATTTTGGCTATTTTTGCAAAGAACTAATGATCAGCTCAGGTCGGAAATTCCCATTTGTTCATTTCCATATTCGTGATTCGTTTTGAGAAAATTTTTTTGTAGTTCACTTCAGAAGCTCTAAAAACAAGCCACTTTTCTTTTTAAGTTGCCGAAGCCATTCACTTTCGTCAATCAGATTTGGCTTTGCTTCGAAATAAAAATTCCTAAAATTATTGAATTAGAAAATGACCATCGTATCTTATAAAATTATGGACAACTTTCCCCCAGAAATGCTGTCTTGAATACAGATAATCTATTTCAAGCTTAAGCTTCCGATTGGACAGACTAAAAAGAGTTCTTTTCTATTGACTTTATCATACAGGGTGTTCAAAATAAGAATATTGCAATTTTTTTTTGCTCGTAAACTCCGGGAAATTCTTAACTCGCGTCAGATGTAGATCCATCTGCAGTTTATGCTCCTAATTAAAAAATCTGCACTATTAGCCGTTAAAGTCAAGAGGCAAATTTTAATCTAAAATCGTGAGAGAACAGGGCGTTTATTCAGAAAGTTTCTAAAATTCCACGAAAATCGTGGAAAAGACATAGATAAGAATATAAATTTCTGCTTTATATTGGCAAAAACTATACCTACAGGCCTTTATCTATAGTCAAAGTCACATCGCAATGTTCTGAAAACTTGCATTCTTACTTGAATATACAAACAAAACGTGTCTGCATAGAGGTCGTTAAGTGCGACTTTTTTAACATTAAAAAAAATACTCTTGAGCTTCTTGGAAAATTCAAACTTTGCCCAGATAAACCGCCACGGTCGTTTTAAATAACGACAACAACTTGGGAATTTTGTTACTAAATCTTTCGAATTTTTTAAACAAAATCTGTGGAGAGCTAAAAGAGCAACCGGCGCTCTATATATGGAAAAAACTTGCGATTTTTTTTAATAGAGCCTTATATGCCGTATATACTGAATAAACCTTAGCGCTCTATTTGCTGAAGAGCTAAATGGGGAATTTTTGAACTCAAACGTGTTATTTTTTAAGTCCAAAAATATCTTTTAACCCGCAGGTTAGTACACACTCGACAGATACTTGCTGCAGGCTATTTTTTAGAAAAAAATCTAGTTGCTAAAGCTGACTCAAAATTTATAGCATTTTTATCGAAATAATCCAAGGAATTAAACGGGCTCATTAAAAGAGAAGCTGGATCCCTCTGAAAATTATGTGAAAATTTACGCAGTTTTCATGTTTGTTATATCAGATCACTCCAGCCGACTGTTACTATAACAGTAATCGTATTTGGTTAAAGTATGCATCGAGCACAAAACTGTTTAAATTGTATTTGGAAGGACATTTTATATGAACTTTAAGCGTAGGTTTGACTGACTTTCTCCTATTTATTTTGTTTGGGGATTACATTGGCCAAACACAGACAAAGCAATGAATGGATTAAAGGAATATTTTTAAAGATATCGTGTTTTTTAGTTGTAAAATTTACGTTGGTTATTGTTATAATACTTGACCAACAGGGCATCATTGACCGGGCTCAGAGTAAAACCAAAGAGTAAATATTTATTTGGTGCAAACGGAATGGGTGATGCCTAATTGGATTATATGCGGGTCTATTTGCTTACCTCCAGTCGCTTCGCAAGTGATGTTGACTGAGGTTCCTTCGTTAAATGGGCCCAATTTGTAGTCCTTTATGTGGCTGTCGTTCACGTCTATTATCATCACTTTTTCAGGTGGAACTGTAAAAAAAGTGGAGCTAATTAATACAGAAAATCAGCTGCGGAAACTGCAATCCAATTAATCTCGTGCGGAGCCCGTCTAATTTAACAGCAGCTGATAGTTCCAAGTAGATTAAACCTTGAAACTCTAAACAATATTTCAGCTATTAACAATTTGGTCACTTCGCATTAGCAGTGTTGGAAGCTGCTGGCCAAACTTTCGTATAAGCCACTTTGCTTTAATGCAATAAATCTGCTAGTTATTAATCGTCCACTCTATTATAACGCCTAGAAGATAAATCAATTAGGGCACTTATAAGTTGAAACTTTCTGGAATAGAATAGAACTGCAGGAACATGGCGAGTGGTAAATTGGTGCGTGACTAAAATTATTCTCTCGAATTTCGTTGCAGTAGTTAGTTGCGAGGCGGAAATATAATTTTTTTCACTGCCCGAAAAATCCGGCTAAACGATTCCGACTCCCGCCAACCGGTAATCCGGCGGATAGTATATTATAATAAAATTCATAATTGTCATTTCCAATGCCAAAAGAGTTTTATCTCCCAGTGCAAAAACCACTGGCGGCATAAAATGTTTAAAATTCTGGCGACACGACAAATGCATAAATTAAGGATTACGCGGTGAAAAATGGCGCAAATGCTAACATAGTTTCAACTCACGTCCACTAAATTTAAATTAGCTCGTTTGTCGGATTTGTTTGGAATGTGGAGTACCACTTTTGACCATTATAGGGCTCTGCCCTTTGCTAGAACACTATCATTTCTCAATCATCCCGCTCTATCAGAATAAGTGATTGTTAATAGTGGAATATCGTACTTTACTGTTAATATTTAAATATATTTTTAACAAAAATGTTTGAATGAATTTGCTCTTACAGTTGGTTGAATTACCTTAAAAGTCTGCCCTATTTATTTAATTTCTACTGAATCTCTATTTCCGCCGAAATGAAATTATATTAGCCGTAAATGTTGCAATCACCGAGAACTCCAATTTATAACAATTAATATTAATTTAGGGGCAATTAGTATTCTGGCAGTAACGTCTGAAAATTGGTAATTACTTGCCGAGAAGACCTCGGATTTTTATAATTAATGAGACTTTGCGGGTAAACGATCTTTCAAGGCAAATTTTGATGTTTATGCTTGCTCGCCAACTCCTGCAACCTTGAGGGGCAATTAATATTTGCAAAACAAGTGCCATCCGAATGTTATCCAGTAGTTTGGCCTGGGCAAATTGACATTGGACTAGACGATTTAGTTCAACATCTGCTATGCCCTCAATACGGTAACATGCAAGCTTTAATTGTCTACTATAAATTTCGTCTCCCGTTTAAAAGGAATGTTAACTGGACTGTGCAGGATATAAAGTGACATATGCGGAATCCAGCCTTGCCATATAGCGACCGGGCCAATGGCTTTTTCTTCCCATTATGCCAAGCTATTTGCATACTGTAATGAACAAAGTCAAATATTTTTATTTCTGCCGTTTCTGGACTAACTTATCTACGACTTTTACGAGAATTGCCCGGATGGGATCTTTTGAGCTTTGGTGTTGTTTACAGGCTTTGCCTTTTCATGGCGACCTATTAGAAATTGCTAACTTTACAAAATTTATTTTACCCGTGGGTACTTGAAATGAAATAGCTTATTGGAGATTGAACGCAAAATATCTCACATGTGAGGGAAAAAATAAAATCGTAAAAGTTGCCAGTGTTTGTTTGTCTTCGGTGCAGATATTATGAAGAAAGTGGTTGGTTATAAACTTAAGTGTTTCAAGAGCAGTTTAACAGTTCTCATTTGCTGGTGACTGAATAGTTCAAAAAAGTGAAATCTGAAGCAGTTTGGACCGTTTCCATGAGATCTGGATTCCCAAAATGCCGCTTTAATTGAGTTGAACAATTATCTAAAAACACGTTGAGAGCGAACAACAAACTTCAATTATCAAGCAAATATGGGTAATTTTTGCGCGATCATTGCCCTCTTACCTTAATTAGGAAACAACCGGCTTCATTCCGGGGCCATTATTGTCCTTTATTCTCGAAAAATCCCTCAAATTCGCGTAATTGACTTCATTGGCAACATTCTAAATATAAACGAGCGTAGCAAAGTAAAAGTGGACTATATCATTATGTCCTTTGACTGTTCCGACATTCCTTTTAACGACAAAGTCAGATTTATGAGCTGCAATTAAAATGTACGAACACTCTACCCTCAACACGCCTGGACAGCACAAAAGAACCCGTGTTAAGCCTGTTAAAGTCTTTGAGGCTGACGGTTGAAAGATCGGCTGCAGGAATTTTTCTGCTGCGAATGCAATCTAATATGACTCTTTCATGAAATTAGTAGTTTACGTAAGGGTTGTCTGGTTCAATTTTTCTCGACAACAAAATTCAGATTCTGCCAGTCTAAGAACTTTCAATTCTTAACGTTTTTCGAAATTGGTCAATTAATGTTTATCATTGTGGAGGCTTTTTCAAAAACAAAATTCAGATTCTGTCAGTAGTTACGTTCACGCAAAATAAAGTTAACATTAATAAAGTGTGCAATAAGCAAAATATAAAATGACAAATCGAGTTTACGATTAAGCTTGCAAACTAATGGTGTGCGGATTATTTGTATCCTGTAACAAATTAAGATCTTTTTAAAAAGGTTTTTTTGTGTTGGCTCTTACGTAAATCAGACTCAGATCAGTGTTTTACAACTCCTTATCTCACGTCCAAATATTCGTCCGTTCAAAATTCTGATTCGGACAGTCGAAGAACTCTGAATTTTTAAGGTTTGTCGTCTGGATTAATTAATGTTTATCACTGTGAGAGTTTTTTTAACAACATATTTCAGATTCTGTCATTCAACTTTAGTTCGAGTTTTTTCGGATTCCTAATCTCATCTGCAAATGTTCGTTCGTTCATATTATTGTCAAATATTTTTTTACAACTGAATTCAGATTCGTTGTTGTTGTAAGGTTTAATTAATTATTGCGACTGTGAAGGTTTTCTTCGAGGTCAGATTTGTTTCAAATTCTTGATCTCACCTGCAAATCTTTGTTCGTGTTTATCGCTGTTGAGAGTTTGTTCCAACAACAAAATTTAAATTTGCTAAGTCGAAAAACTTTCCAATTCTTCAGATTGTCCGTATTGATTAATTAATTTTTGTCGCTGAGAGGATTTTTCTCGACAACAACATTCACATTCTGCCAGTCAACTTTAGTTCGAATTGTTTTCCACTTCTGTTTTTCACCTGCAAATTTGCTCGTTCGTTTTTATAACTGCTGAGGGCTTTTTCCAACATAATTGTCGGTCAGCAATTTAGTTCGAGTTTTTTCGACTTCTTTATCTCACCTGCAAATGTTCATTCGGGTTTCATCACTGTTGAACTCTTGAGTTGCAAATATTTCTTTGTTTTCGTAACTGTTGATGGTTTTTTCAAACAAAAAAAAATAGATTCGGTCAGTTTAAGAGTTTTCAGTTCTTACAACAACTTTTTGTTTCAGCAACAAAAATGTATTGCGTTAAGTTTAAGCGTTAAATATTGCTTTTAATTCTAAAGGTTTTTTTGTACGACTTATGTAATTTTTATTACTGTCGGTTTTTTTAAATAACATAATGCAGATTCTGTCAGTCAACTTAGTTCACGGTTTTTTATTCTTTAATTTGCCTGAAAATGCTGGTCATTTTTAACACTGAACTTTTTTGATGAAAAACACCTTCAGCAGTGACGAAAATTACTGAAATCGTACAAAAATCATTAAAAATGACATCGCAATATTGTTAAAGTGGCGTTTTAATATACATTCAGAGTATCTAATTAGGAGGAGAGCAAGTAAAAAGCCAACAGGTCAACTTTCTTAATTTTTGAAACTTGCGGCAGAAATACTTCAATTAACTAAATTGTTTTCCTTAAACATTAATGGCATGCAACTAAAAAAACGTCGTCTTAAATCATCTACTAAAAGCCAACCTGAGTAAATAATTAGCAACAGGAGCAGCAGTTCCGATTCTGTTCAAACAATTTCATTAAAGGCTTCGCCATTATATATGGCTAATAAATCGCACATCGGAGCCTTAAAAGTCGAGATTTGAGAGAAGATCGTAAATCTGCAATCAATTACCACAAATTGCCTTTAAGTTAGGTGAGGTAAGAAAATGAATTTCGGCTGATATCGACTAATTCCTGCATACCTCCTTAAGAGATTACTGCGGTCCCGAATTTCCCATATACCTTTCTCATTTTATTATGGAGAAATCGGAGGGTCTGAGGTGGGGCCAAATATTAGCTATTGCCTACTAAATGGTTTTTGAATAACTAAATTTTAACCTCGGGTCAAGTGGAAGTAATTAGACAAATTGGGTGGATTTATTTGCAGGTCTACATGCTAACTGAAAATCAACTAATACCCATTCTGCGAAACACACACGTGAGCAATTTGTGCAAAAGCGGCGCCATAGTTCACTGCATTGCGGCCATTAACAAAGTTATCCGCCCGAATTGGTTTAACTCGCATGAATAAAATTGTCCGAGCACGTAAACTATTAATAAAACCAGGCCTAGACCTCTATAAGCCTTAATTGCCATCTAATGAGCTTATTGGAGGTGGTACACGATATTAATTCTTGTTAGTTTTGCTCTTTGTAAGCCGCCAAAGTTCGGCCGCAATCTGGTTTTCATGTATCGGACCGAAAATAAACCCATGAAATAAACTTACTGGTAACTGTAAGATTCACTTTAATATTCCTTGTTGGCGTGTGTTTGAAGTCCGCTCTGCAATAGTAGATGTTCTCATCGTCCCTTTCAACCAAGTTGAACATGAGAATTGCCGGGTTTTCGTTGCGCATGAAAACGACCCTTTTGCCCAGTAGCTTCTCATCAATCCATTCCACTGGAGATTCTTGCGAATCATCACGAGCATCCAATCTGAAAATGCAAAGAAAATTCCTTATTATCAAAGTTGTCTTCGACATGTTCGCGAACGGAGCCGCATAATGAAGCCGCAATATCCAACAGCATTAATTAACTCTTATATTGTAATCCGAAACAATAATAGCGGATGAGGCAAAATAAAGGGTTTTCACTTTCAGTGGAAAGCTTTCATTGTAGATACAACTGAAGCGTCGACACTGTGAAAAAGCATGATTGATAGTTGTCCCATAATTCATAATCCTCTTTCGCCCTTCACGTTTCTCGTTCCTTTTTCGGGGGCCTTTGCTCTTCGCGAAAAAGCCCTCGAGCTGAACAAACAGCGGCCCGATGACAACTTCCTTCCCCTTGGATGGCCGACATCCGGTTAAGTGCAGGGCCGAGGTAAAGATAAATAGAATTTATTGTTGTTCTGTCAGTAGGGCCAATACTGACTCAAATGCACACGCATTTCGACTATTTATCGATACAGTGTTTTGACCCGGTCAGAATTATTAGATTGTATTTAATTCTCTTTTTTATTTAAATTTTTCGCTCTCTCATTTATTCTAGGTTTCACCGCCTTGGATTAAAGAGCTGAGTCGGCGACAAACAATAGCACCTGAATAGAAAATGTTGCCTCAATATTTAATGTTAATGAAAACAGTGAATTTCCTCATTTATGCAGGTATTAAGCGGCGAGAATGGGGTTAAAGACGTTTTGATGGGGATTGGCCTAAAAATAAATTATATTCTGTTCTTTCGATTAAGCCCAAATTGTAAAAATTTCAATTCGATTTCACGCAAAATGCAAAAATTCAAATTAGTGCGGGTTTTGAAACTAGCTGTTACTTATTGGCTCATATTTAGAGAAGCCGTTATGCTACGAAGCTCCAGTACTACGCCATAGAGCCTGAATTGGCGCACATTTTTGTATTAAAGACTATGGAATGTTTCTAGTTTCCACGAAAAATGCGAAAATTCAAGTTCATATGGATTTTGAATATGCCCTTTAGTTTGTGGCTCATATTTCCAGAAACGGTTGCGCTGAGAATCTCTGGTTGTCTTTACGAGATTAGACCGCAAATTGTCTTTTTTTGGTCCTAAATATCATTTAAAGACTGTTTCTAGTCTTCACGCAATTTGCGAATATTTAAATTAGTGCTGAGTTTGAAAACTATTCTTAATCTTTTGCCGAATTAATTCCTCTAATTTCATTATTTTTAATCCCAATTAAATTGTTAATCAAAAACGGATAATCTGCAAAGGCCTAGTTGTTATTGCAGAATTGAACCTCAAATTGCGCACTTTTATGCACCAAACATCAAAATTTAAATTAGTGCGATTTATACAAACCGTTTTCGGTCTTTGCCTCATATGTAGAGAAGCGGTTGAGCTGAAATATCTGCTGGTCAATGCGGGATTGAGCCTCAAATTGCACACGTTTTGGTGCCAAACATTATGTAAGGAATGTTTCTAGTTTCCACGCAAAATGGAAATATATATGTTAACGCTGGTTTTGAAAATCGCCTTTTGACTCATATTCAGTAAACCGTTTGAGCTGCAAGCTTATCTTGTCACTGCAAGATTGAATCGCAAATTTATAACTTTCTAGTGAAAAATGTAATTTAAGAATTATTTCGAGTTTCCGCGCAAAACGCATAAATTCAAATGAGTGCTTGTTTTCAAAATCGGTTGTTGGCTCCAGTTTAAAGAGAGAGTTGAGATGTACAGTTGTCGTAGTGATTGCAGGATTGAGTCTCAAATTGAGCACTTTTTTGTATCGAATATCATTTAAGGCATATTTCTGGCTTTCACGCAAAATGCCAAAAATTTAATTATTGAGGGTTTAGAAAGTCGCTCAGTTCCTCTAGTTTTCACGCAAAATGGGGAAAATCAATATAGTGCGGGTCTAAAAAATCGCTTTTAGTTTTCGCCTCAAACATTCTTTTAAATCTATTTAATTTCTATGTACAATTATTTCAAAACTATATCAATCGTTATAATTTGATTAAATCGAAAACACTTCTGTTTAACGTGCTCTTTTTCGATCGTTTTCTTCGAGTTAAGGCTTATTGAAAGTGTACAGGCATCCATACAGTACAGTGAACAAAATGCTTCGATTTTACTTTTCACTGCTTAAGACAATTACAGTATTTGCAGCCTAATTTCAGATTTCCATAAAGGCTAGTTCAGGTGCAGTTTACGGTTACGTTCATATACGTTTTTTGCTTTCTCATTCAGGAAAAGCCCCACTTTTGATCCCAAGTTTAAATGAACATGCACAATTTACATCCATCGTAATAAAGCTAATTTCGACCCGTAATTTTCCTTAAGAGTCCACTAAAACACCAAGTCTATTGTTCCCTGGATAAAAGTTCCATGTTCTCGATTGCGGAGACACTTAAATGAAAATTCTATGGAGAGCCTCAATTACCAAAAATCGCTTTAACGAACTTTAGTGCCGGTTCCACATACATTAATACATTTCCAGTGGGTTCAATCAATTAATACTATTATTTAGTCGATTTACCCTTAATATTTCCAGATTGTTTGTCGTTCTATTACATATTTTTTCAGTCGCTGCTAGCAAGTTGTTTATTAACGATTTTTCAATTCGTGGTTTTTCTTCGTTTAGGAGACTTTTGTGTTTTAAAAAACTGTTATTTCGGTTCTTTGTTTTTCGTTCTGTTCACATACCATGTTCAATTTTGCTCAATAAATGGTTTAAACAATCTTGTTTATCAATAAGTTTAACTCCAATCCTGAGTTTTTACCTTATTTTAATTTCAACTGAGTCTCTTTAGAATTCAGAAGTATGTTTGCTGAGCATTATCGTTATGGGTCAACCAACAACGGTTTCATTCGAAATCGCTAAAACGTAGACATTTTTAAATCAAAACCCTAAACATCGTGAAATTCAATACCTACTTCTTCTGCAATAATTTTGTGTAAATAATCCCTCAGCTCTAATTGAGATAATCAAGTTGTAAAATTTGACTTTCAAATGCCATATCGTTTAACATAAATTCGATTGAGCCAAAGTGTTTGGACTTATTTTATAGGAACCCTTCTTAGCTTTACAAGCAGAGCAAGCAGGGTAAATACTGCAAGTTAAGGCTTCTTGTTCACGCCTGTTTTCCGTAATCTTGTCGTGCCGCGAAACATTAAATCGCATTAAATGTTTTGCATAAATATCCGGCGATTGCAGAATGTTGATTTTACGAAAAGGTGCAAGTTTAACAGTTTGTTGAGGGGTTGTTTTCCTTATTCCACTTGCCCAACAATTTGCATTAAAACGATTTAATTGCGAGAGTAACAGGCAGATTTTGAAATTTGTTGAAAACGGCCTTGGTTTAGTCGCAAGCTGTTTCTGATTGCCCAGTGAGTGGAGCGTTTTTTACAATTACAATTTTCCAAAGTCCAAGCAACCAAAACCAACTATCGCCGTTTCCAACATCCAACGTCTTTGCTATCGACTTAAAAACTCATTGTCCGACAGATGTTCCAAATGCACCCCTACAACTCATTTAAACCGAGCTGGGAGCCGCAAAACAAAAATGCTTCATTTAATTTTACGGTAGTTTTTCAAACTTTGCTACAGTTCCCGGGCGGTGGCAAGAAAAATAAAGCAGCCATTTAAACCGCACGAAAAAAAGAGAGGTGTTTCTCTTCAAGCACGCCTCCGTGCTCGTTCACCTTTAGCCGCAAACTAATGAGCCGTTGAAATTACCAAACCGCAAAGGAATAACCAAAACTCTGGAAAATTGATGCACATCCAGTCAAAGTTTCAAGAGGCGGTGGCTAACTTTTCTGGTGGGAATATGAAACACTGCCGCCCAAAGCTATTTGATTTTTACAAAGCTAGGAAAAAATTCAGGTTTGCTGCTACACTTACGAGTATATGGGAACTGGGTTTTTTCTTTTGATGTTGCCGTCGCTTCGGTTCTTTAGCTCCATGAACCAGATCACGATGGTTATCCTGTCATTAGCCACTGTAGGTCTGATGTCGCAAGGTAGCTTTGCCATTTGGCCTACCACAGCTTCCACATGATGAACGCTGGTAGCTGAAAATAAATTTAATGTTAAAACTTGTTATCATGGCGCAGCTATAAATGCAATTATAAAAAAATGCGACCAACTCCTAAGTGGATTCTCCTCTTGGACAAATGCGCTCACAATTACCTAACATTAAGCCAAGTCTACACATAGAGGCAGAATGTTATTAGAAAGATTTACTGCCCGTGCCGTTAGGAACTTTATAAATATTTGGATGAGAACCATAACTTAGGAATAATCTGCTTTTATCGTTCCAGCAACACGCCAAGATGCAATTACACATAATAGAACAGCGAATAGCAGCGCCTCATTTAAGTCGTTATTGTTATTGCACGTTCGTTTGTGTTTTGACACTCTACTAATGGAGAATAATAAAAACACCGTGTTGGTGCTTATAGAGACGATTAATAAGCAGATTACTATCAGGCAATCTCGCGAATCCCCGAATCCAATCAACTGGATTCCGTTATTAATTCAATCCAGATTTTTTCCCTCTGGGTTCGACCTTCTTATATTTAATGGCCCGATTTAGCACTTCGGTTATTTGTGGGCTTATTTAGTGGCGCCATAACTAATAACTGTCTCCAAAGTTTTAACGGCTGTTGAACTTCAACAGGGGCAGTTAGGACTTTCGCAATGTCAACTAATTCCGAAATTAAAAGCGCCATAAATCCATGTCGTCGTGCTGGTTTCTTGCTCGATATTAGACAAAATTGACAATAGTTTCAGATGCGGAACTTAGTTGATGGAACCACACAAACTTATGATTGCCCATTTTCATCTTAGATTTTATGATTCGAATAAGTTTAATTCCGTATTTTCCCCTTTTTGAGTCCTCAGAAACCCAAGTATCCATTTCTTTCAAACATTATAGGCTGTATCAAAAAATAGCCGAAATAAAATATTTCGGCTCCGGTTCAGTTTTTAACAGTGTGTTAATAAAAAATATGGGTTCAGCTTCGGTTCCAGTCCAGAAAAAAATCTGTTTCGTTCCACTTTTGGTCTATATCGGTTCTGGTCCGGGTCCCTGCTTTGGCAAATTTCTGGTTCTCTCGTCTTCCTTTTTATACATCATTCTTTATTATTAAATAAAACACAGTTTCCAACTGAATAACTTTGAGATGTGATACATTTTCGTATTGTATGTGTTTTATATTTGGGTCCTGAAAATGCCTAAGCAATATGTGAGAGCGACAATGACTTATTAGGCGAAAAGTGATTCATTTTCCCAATTAATTGTTTACATTCTGCAAACGTTATCATCATCATCTCTATATTGCATCATACAAGCATTGCAATTCCATGTTATCGACTGCTTTCGTGAAAAGTTAATTGATATTTTTTAGCGAAAAATCAGCTTTCTAGACTTTAGACTTTCTACGTTTTGCTTTAAATTGCCCATTTCACTGTCGGTTGGGAAAACTATATAGATGATCTAGACTATGAAAATTACACGTTCGATGGAGAACATCACCATTTTATTAATAGAAATAGAAAAGCCTCCATCAATAAATCGATTAAGGTTAATCAGTAGCGATAAGGTAAAACGTGACTGGCTGGTCATTAGCGTTACTACTCAAAACGTTCTTGGCCAGATTATTACAATTTCCATTATGAATAAATGCCAAATTTTAACATTTGAGGCCTTCATGTAGACATGAACAGATAATAGAGTTAACATACTAAGAGATTCAGCAAGGCACAAAATTTACTGAAGGATTTGGAAGATCTTATTTCGAGCAGTGCAAATGCACGAGGAAAATTTCTCAATACATGAATAGTGGAAATATCTCAATAAAGAAGGATTTAAAAAACAACATCAACAACAACAATATAAGTGTGTGAAGTAATCGAAATTCTTCCAAATTTCTTACTCTTTACTGACACCGAACAAATTATTTCCAGGCTGACATTAGCTGTAAAAATATAGCAAATTCTCGTTAATATTCATTTGCGAACGTGACTTGGAAGCCGCAAAATGCTTTAAAAGGGGCCCGCTTAAACCAATTTCCTTATTGTGACAACCATGACATGAATGTAACTGAAAAACTTTTTGTAACCGGCGAATTATTTTCCGCTAAGTTTATGCAATAATTTTCAACTAATTCGAATTAGGGATGCAATTCAATTTGCGCGTTAACATTTCGAAAGTACGAATCGCATTCAAATGATGGCTCGCTTTGTTCTTGAGTAAGAGAACAGATGGTCGATGCCAAAGGAGGATTATTCCGCTGGCAATTGTGCCTCCCAATTGAAAGAGCTTAATAACGGGGCCGTTTGTGGATTTAAATTACTTGCAAAGTTCGAACTTTCACTTAAAGATATATTGTGTGACGATCATTAATAATGCTAGAGTGCATACGATTAAAAGTGCGCTTCTCGAGTTCAAGGCAAAACAACTCAAGTCACCCACGTCCACGAAAATTGTTCCATTTACAAAAGTTAAATTACACTCAAAAATAACCAAACTTTTTTCTGAGTCTAACTACTTTTGGTTTCTAGCTTTTAAATACTTGTTTAGGTTTGTGAAACTACTGCAAAAAATTAGCTTAAAATAAAAAGTACTTAATAAATTGAAACGAAGCGATAATGGCAATCGATTTTCGGTTAAAATAGCGGAAAACAAAGTGCTATTGATGAGGCAATTGTCTACAGTAGTCAATCCAGATAAATTATACAATTAGAACGAAACCACTTCCCAATCAGAGCTATTGTACTATAAATTCCATTAGGGCTGGGTTCAGAAAAAAATCGGGTTTTAAAGGGAGAAATAACAACGACAATAAATTTTTATTGAATTGAGGGGTGGACCGAATTTAAAGCCGGAGCCGCTTTTACCGGCGGAACAGAAAAAAGCACACGCAAGTAACAATGTTAAACGTCAGCTTTGTCTGCATATCGCACGTAGATCTACTTCCTTTACCTCCGACGAAGGAAATCCAATAAAATCGTAGCTTTTGCACTTCAGTGCCGTAGAATCACGACACCAAATTGAAAAATCCATTCCAAGCACATTTCAGCCAACCAACTCGCAGTTAATGCGCAAAATTCGCACCATCGAGGGCCCAATCATTTATAGCTGAATGTTCTAGAAAGTCTATTAAACAAACCGACGAACTGACAGTTCTGATGGTTTGCTAAATGAATTGAAAGGATCGTTTTAATAGTCGATCACTGATGCGAAAATGGCTCAATCTTCGTGGCCACTGATTAGTTCCCAATTAGAAATCGGTCAGCGGGATAATGACTTATTGATGTTGTAACTTGCTTGGACTCGTCTCATCCAGATAACAGCAGTTACAGGCTTGCCTTTACCTTGAACTGTTCCCGGTGATTGAAAAGGACAAATATGGAAAAGCTCCAGAGTTTGCCTCTTGATTATTTATCCCTTATTAATCAAGCCACAGTTGATCAGTTTTCAAAACGTCTGGAAGATAGTTGGAAGAGTTAGTTTTCTTTGATGACTAAAAAGAGCAAGAAATCCACCACTTGGAACATTTTCTGCTGCTTTCTGTGCACTGTAAATGGAATTGAAATCATCAAAGATTACAAGTATATCGAAAAAGTTCCAAAAGTATTTTTTAAATAATTCCAAAAAAGTTTGTGAGTCAAGGGACAAGAACTCCATTACAAACATTATTTCGACAGGAAAATCGAATAATGAAAAATGAAGGTTCTAGAGAAAACAGTGGTACAATCCGAAACAATAAAATAATAAAAACCATAAATGGAAGGTTTTACATCACTGCTTGAAACTGGTAAGTTTTTCGGGCTTTTAGACCACCGTGGAAAGTACATTTTCCTGGCCTTTCGCAAGCACGGATGGCTTGCATCTTCAGGGGTAGTTTGCTAGGTGCAGCAACTGGAAGAAATTAGTTGTCACTAGGGTCTAAACGCCCGAGACACTCACTAGTTTCACGCAATAATCGTAAAAGCTCAACACTTTTAATTAGTTTTCTATTTCACAACATGAAATTGAAAGGAAACGAAAATAGAACATGAAATACAGAATAAAAAACAAAGACGTATCGTAGTCCGTTAAATTGTGAAAAACACGAAGTGTTAAGAATTAAATGACAAACAATTTCTTAATATCCAAAAACAGGTCAAATGATAAAAATTTTATTAAAATTTGACTTTAACTATGTGTTTTTGTGCAAAAATTATTTAAAAAAAAACATTCAATAAACAACCTTGTCAGTTTAATAAAAGCTTATCCACTGAACACCTGTAGATGTACTTGTAACAGAAGATCAAATTGACTCCAATTTCCATAACTTTCGAAAAAAAGGCTTTTAAAGTGAAACCAGGAACGATATTCACTGTTATTGTTCGTCCAAGCGCAGAAGCAAATAAAACTTAATTGGTCGAGAAATGGGGCGGATAAAATGGGAAAATAGTATTCAGGCATCATCGTATCCCCATCTGAAGGGGCTGTTTTGTAGGTGAACCGAGAAAAATACTAAAAAGACGTTAGTGATCAGGTGGGATGAGTTTCGCACGCGATAGATTTATTACGGTTAAATTTCGTGTTTCGTTTTCCTCTCGCCTTATGAGTATATAAAACTGTCGTTAAGTAAACTGTTGGGTAAACGAGGCGAATTTGGGAGATTTAGTAAAAATTATGTGATCAATTTTGTTGTTTTTGCCACTGGTTAGTTTCCACTCACATTCCAAAATTTTATGACAAAATCCGACGCTTCTCGGCCAGCTTTGTACAGTATGGTGTTTATTCGGCTTAATTAACTGAAAACTTTGGTAAATTTGTCCAGTTAAAAACAGCACAATCAGATAAATGCGCGTCATATCACGTTTCTAAACACTAAAACAGCCACATGTAAATCAACACAACATTTATTTTAGCTTGAAGCTTTCCACATTGGCATCAAATGACTGGTCTCGGGTGATGGAACTTTAAGCTCAATAGTCGATAAATGCTGGCGGTTTTATTTGCAATGAGTTAAACATATCGCGTTGCTGAAAACTCACGAAACATTTGATCTCGATG